TAACTTTATTTGTAATTTACAAACCAGTCCCACAGATACAAATAATATAAGACTTACAAAATAAATTCCAGGTTACGCTTACATAGCAAGCAGCTTTGTATTTTTTTTATCCTTGGGTTTTTCATTTTTCAGAAATGTCCTCTGACAGTGTGTGTGCCATTAGATTTCACCCAAAAACATACAGTTACTGAAAATAGCAATTTTGAAGAGAAACACAACTTTGTTCAGAAGACACTATATTTAACATGGCTCTTTACACAAAGAAAACAAGTCATGAACTCATTCCCCCAAAGCATTTTGCAGTGCCTTCAATTCCCGTAAATGGAAAGCAGGAGCCACTTAGACTCTCGGCAAAGAGCAGGTGTGCTGCTACTGGTGTGTAATCCACACAAGATGGCAGAGAGTCTGCGGCCGACTCCAGGGAGCTTCCCCAAGATCAAACAGATATCCCCGCAAATTAAAATAAAAAGAGAAGCAAAGTAGCATCCGCTGAGTCACAGATTTTGTTAATCTCATCCCAGAAGGAGTGGTTTTTGATACTTTCTGGAGCAAAAGAACAACAACTAACACTCCCTCCTTTCTTTTTTCTCCTTTTTTTAAACAAGGGTTGAAGACGGCGAGGTATATTCTCAAGCACTGTGTTCAAGACCCTTTGATTTGGTTGGAAAAACAAAAGGAGGACAAAAAGAACAAGAACAACAACAACAACAAAAAAGTACCCATTTCAATAGCAGCAAAAATACTATGACTCTCTGGTTGCTTTTCAGGGTGTCCTGTGGTATATATGCGGGATTCATACATGTAGTGAAATGGACAATCCAAAAGGTCTTGTACTGCGAAATACATCCAGGCGGATTCTAGTATTAGCTTTGTACTGTGAAGCCATTTTGTCCATCTCTGCATCGGTCATTATGGGTTTCCAGAAGGCACTTTTTTGTTCTGTGTGTGTTTGTGTGTGTGTGTGTGCATGTGCAGAGTGTGAGAGCATTGAGAACAGAAAGTGATGGAATGAATGATGTGCGTGTGTGTGTGTGTGTGTGTGTGGCTAAAGGGGGAGAAAGAACCAGAGAAGGGCAGATGTGTTTGGCTGTCTGTCTGCCTGTATGCGTGTCTGGTTTCCTTGTGTATGGGTGTGTAATCAATGCATGAAATCAAACACAACAATCCCTACATTTTACTCAGTGCAGTCTGCTCCTCAAGCACCTGCAGGTAATCAGGCGTTCCTTGGAGCTTGGCTTTCAGCTCATAATACTCACTTTTTCTCTGCTCCACCACAATCTTACTGTGGTTTCCGCCTATCAGTGATGACTTCTTCATCTTTTTATCCAGTGTTTTCTCCGGATACCGTATTTCATACCCGCCCATCCCTATACTGTTGAAATCTCTTTTGCTGTCCAGGAAGTTCTGGATGAACATGCTGGGCTCTCGGTTGGGGAGGAATTCCTCGAGTTCGTCAATGGTGCTGAGGCGTTTGTTGCGCTCCAGGGTGGAAAGCGAGTCTTTATCCTTGTCGGCACTGTTTCGAAGGATGATCTTCTGCCTATGTGAGTCCGCAAACTTGAAGGCGGCATCCATGTCTGAGGAACGCCCAATCCCACAGGTGTGGCTCTTGCCAATGTGCTCAATAGTCTGGGGGATGAACGTCTCACCTCCCAGGTCATCTCCCAGGATGGAGCCTTTTTTACCCGATTTGTGGTTGTGTCGGCGAAGTTGCAATGACATGGAGCCACACTCTTGATTACCAAGACCTTCCTGTCTGCCCACTGGTTTTTTATTCCGCCTCAGGACAAAGACTAAAAGGCAGAAGGCCACAAAAACAGTAAGGATAAGCACTACAAGAATGCTGAGTATCATAATGGAGAGAGGCACAGGCCCCCCCGGTGGGGCTTTGCCAACTCCAGCAGGTGACACTGAGGTCAAAACAGGGGTGGCGCTAGTGAAGATGAATGGAGGCCTTGCAACAAGCTTAGGACACAGGATCTCATTTTTCAACAGGCGCAGCTCAATGTTGGCGAACTGCACAGGGGAGGCACATTTCACCTCTTTGGCAGCCACTCCATCACTTAGCTTCTCTAGCCAAAGTTTAAGGGCGACCAGATCACAGGAACACTCCCATGGGTTCCCTTCCAGGTCTATCTGGGTCAGTGACCGCAGCTGGTCCAAGACACCGCTTACTGGCAGGGTCATGAAGTGATTGTTTTTCAGATTCAGTCTAGCTAAAGAGACACCTGCAAACACGTAGGCAGGGAGACTCCGCAGCACATTATTGTTAAGATACAGGAGTTGTAGGTTCGGCATGGAGTCAAATGTACCAGCTAAGATTTCTTTTATGGCGTTGTATTCCAAATACAGGTACTGTAGGTTTGTGAGGCCCAAAAACATCTCTGGGTGCAACTGTTCGAGCTGGTTTCCATTCAGATACAGTCTCCTCAGGTTAGTGATGTTAGCAAACACACCTTTCTGGACTGTGACAATCTGATTACTGCCAAGATGTAGCAAATCTAAACCCTCAAACCCTTGGAAATCAGTTGGGCTTATGTCACGAATGTAATTCCCACTCAGGTGAAGTTTCTTGGCATTTGGGGGTTTGGGAATGAGATCGGCTAAATTTTTAATATTCCTCTCCTGACAGCTGACACTAACGCCAAAGTCAGAGGGGTGAGCTTTACAACTGCAGTGCTGTGGACACAACAATGGAGGGGTCCGTGTCTGGAAGGAAACTATCTGGCTATTTCTTCCAAAAGGGGGCAAACCAGCAACAATACCATTACCATAAATCTTAGATGAGTCAGTGGTTTTTGGTGTTTTAGTGGCTATAGGAGCTATGACAGTTGGGGACATTTTGGAGGGCAACTGCCCATTATCAGGCAGTGCAGTTCCTGTTCCCATGGGGCAAAGCTCCTGTCTGTTGGTTTCTTTCAGGAGCCTCCCATACAAGTCACTTGGTGTTTCACATATGGCCTCGCCGATAAAAATATTGTAGGGCATGTTTTCAAGCCATGCCTTGAGAGGTGCTAAATCACAGGTACAATTCCAGGGGTTGTCATCCAGCTGCAGCTCTACAATGCGCCCTATGTGCTCCAGAACCCCCAAATAAGGAAGCTTCTGGATCCTGTTACCCCTTATATCCAGGTGTGTGAGCGAAGCAAAGCGAAATATGTTGTCAGGAAGTGCCTGTATGAGATTATCATTCAGGATCAGCACTTTTAGCTTGTGTAGTTTGTTAAAAGCTCCTTTTTCAATGTACTTAATCAAATTGTAGTCGGCCTGAAGGTATTCCAAGTTTTCTATCCCTAGGAAAGTGTCTGCTCGAAGCACCTTCAATTCATTATTGTTCAAGTGCAGCTGTTTCAATGCGCTCATGCCCATGAATGCTCCACCTTCGATGTTCTGCAGTTTATTGTTCCCCAGCTGCAGTGACACAGCATGGGTAAAGTTGAGGAAGGAGTTTGGGTAGAGTATGATTAAAAAGTTGTTCTGGAAGTTCAGATGATAGAGGGACGAGGCTGGAGGGATGAGCTGTGTGGGTCGGTAGACAGTGATCTTCTCACAGTTTACATACAGAACATTTTCCACCGACATACAGGAGCAGGCGCTGCAGGTCTCAGCCATCAAATCTGAGGCAGACGGGTCTGCCATCGGGAGTCCGTCCAACATGGAAGGGGAGGATAGGGAGGAGGAGAGGGAGCCGGAGATGTAAGAAGAAAAGGCTGCCAGCAGGAGAACGAGCAGCATCTCGCCGGTTAGAAATCCTCCCCCAGAAAACCATTTAGTAACCTTTGGAGAAAAAAAGACAGGTACATGTACAAGCATTCACACACACAAGCATACATATGCACAAACGAGCCCAGAGGCGCATGCGTTCCCACACACACACACACACAGACAGAAAGCAAACCATCAAAATGCATATTCGATATTGATTATACTGCAGTTCCAATATGTAATCAATTTTGGCACTTTCTTAAAAAAGCACATTAGGGATATTATTGTTATTTTTACTGTATAAAACACTGTGCAATTTGCCATTCAGATGATGCACAATTCTAATTGTTGCACTTTTTGTTTGAATCATTGGAGTGAGTGGTTTTGGGTTGACTCAGTGATTACCCTAATTACTCAACGAGACAAATGTTTGATGCAGATTATTCAGTAGAATTTTTTTTGACCTTTGACCTGCTGCACAACTCTGCAGTCTTATTCTTACATCTAAAGCATGAAGCATCTTCTTGTAAACGTTTAACACTCACGACGCTATTCTTCTCCTCTCAGCATATTCAACATAATCAAAGCCAAACGGCTGCGGCTCCTTTTTTCATTGGGTTATTATTTGAAGCCAGCAGCACCTCTAAGCAGCACATTGAGGTTATTTAGAAAAAGCAACTGTGGAAGCAAGCGGAGAGGGAGAATTGAGACTGTGCCCATTACTGGCATATTGAGAGGTTTGTGAGCGACACGCATTTATCACAGAGCGAACCATCCTTCCCCCCCCCCCACACACACACATGTGACACCAAAAAGAAATAAAAAATTAAAAAAGGTTCCTCAAATATAAAAATGTCCAGAAACTATGAAGGAACGCGGGTGAAGTGTAAATAAATTAGACTTACCCAAAGCTGAGATGGTAATGAATGCGGCTCCCTCTGGAGACACGGGGCAGCACTGGTGAGACATGGATGAAGACGTGCGCAAACAGTCCTCACAGCTGAAGTAGAACCCAGACAGTTATAGGGCACAACACGGTTTCTCCAGTCCGTATATCCCCATGTGGGCTACTGTATATCAACCCCTGCCAAGCACACTGGAAGGGGTGCTGGGGAGATGAGGAAAGAGGGTAAGGACTGACACTCCGATTTCACCCGATGCGTCTCTTGCTGACGGGCTCGTCTTGCTTGGAAAAATCACCCCTCTGTTCGTTCGGGCCCCAAGGTGGTTGTACTACCTCCATGGGAAAGCATTCGTTTGGTTGCAGGACAGACAGGGGGAGTTAGACTGGGAGAGCAAACGGAGGGAGGGAGAGAGAAAGGGAGAGGCAGGCAGTTTTAGAGAGCTTGATGGCGCGTCCGGCGACTCCAAGGCATGAAAAAAGGCGTAAGACTGTCCGTGATGCGGTGAAATAAGTCCATCATTCTTGGAGTTTTTTACGGGGAAAGTGGAGGATGAGGAGAAAGCAGATGGCCCACACTATGCGTCTGGCTTCAGCTCGGCTCTGCAATTCCCGCCGATCGAATGGAGAGATACGGGTCTGTTTCGAGCGAAGTTGCGCACAGGGATAATGCTTCTGAGGGCAAAACAGCCAAAACGTTCCCATCAGGGTTTGTGTATCAGTACATTTTTTTCCATCCGGACAACATAAATTCGGTCATTGGCTCAGACTCCGTGCAAAACAGTTATTTTCTTTTTACGGTTTATTTGCAAGCAGCAGATTTGCTAATTGCAGTCTCCATCCAACGGGAGGGAATTTTGGGGTGGGGGGTGTAAAAATAAGGGCAATGGCGATAGCGAAGCTCCTCTCTTGGATAAGAAATGCGTAAAAGCTCAAAGATATACACAAGAGAAACACGTCAGGACAACAAAAACCGGTGCGTAAAAATTAATAATGCAGTTTTTAAGTCTTTAGCCCGCCGCGGTGCAAGTGAAGAGCTGGAAACTCCGTGCTTTTTCTTGTTCCCATCGGTCATGAAAAAAAATGTAATCACAAAAAGCATGGGACAGAGGCGCAAAGATCTTTAAAGCCAATCAGAGTATCCAGTTCGAGGAGATGGTTGGGAGGGGGGGGAGGGGGGTCAGAAGAGAGAAAAGCAAGTTTGTCTTTCCTTCTGTAAGACAGAACAGTATCCGCGTCAGGCGCATAAGTATGCTGACTCCTTCTGCAGCCGCATTCACTGAGCTTCCCACACGACTAAAAGAGGAGAATGCAGAGATGTAGAAAGACAGGAGGAGGGAGGGAGGTGGAGAGAGAGAGAGAGAGAGAGAGAAATGGGGAGGGGGTGTTCTCTCAGATAGACCAAAGATGGGGAGTGGGGGGCAAAAGACTTAAAAACTTTAGCGCTTGAAGCAGATACAGACCCGTTTTTTTCGGCACATACTGTACTTCTGACAGTTTATTATGATATTCTATTCTGGATATTCTACATATATATTTTTTAAATGCTGTTGTACGGAGGCTCTCACATGTTTGTTTGTTTACTTGTTTTTCTCCTGTGTAACCTCCAAGGTGTTGAAGATCAAAGCTGACGAGCAGCGCGGAGGGGATGGTGAGAACCTGCCAAATCTTAGCACTGGCTTGACTTGCGGGACACGGCTCGAGCGCGTTCCCGAAGTCGATTGGAAAGAAAGGGAGAGAGAGAGTGAGAGAGATTAAAACCGGCACGGGAGCGCGCATGTGAGCGGCATTTTAAATAGCAGGGAGAGAGAGAAAGAAGAGAAAAGGAAAGGACGAGGAGAGGGGGTTATTATTCAAGAGTGCTGCAGTCAGACAGGCCACAAGACGGGGAAAGGGAGAAGGAGGTGGGAAATCAGTCAATCAGAGGCTTATGCAGGTTTCCATTATTTCTCCCTTTTATGTGTTTTTGCAGGAAAGAATGGAACCAGAGAGACAGGAGCTGAGGACAAGAGGAGATATGGGGAGTTGTGCCTTAAGGTATGAGTACACCTGCTTCAAATATTATTTTTCTGTTATTATTTGTCTAAGTTCCTCATTAAAATGAGTGACATCTATCTATCTATTTATCTAGCTAGCCATCTATTTATCTATCCATCTATCCTTGTGTTTTTTATTCATGTGACCTGAGTCCCTGGCTGAGGAGTGCCAGCGTGGCACAGTGCCCGCACTCACAGCTGATAATCATGGGAGAAAAGGGAGTCAGACCTGAAACCCGAGTGCTCGGCCTCACCGGAAGCCTCACCTCTGGTTTCCTCTTGCAACAGGTGGCAGAGTCAAGTGACCCAGGCTGGAGAAAGGGAAGATGGGAATGAGTATGGATTTCACCAGGCCAGCCTCACAGCAGGGCTGTTTGTGTTCAATGTTAGTGGGTGACATTTCTTATCAGTTAATATGAGAAAAGTTTCAGTAACTGACAATATGGAAACTGTCCTGTATATAAGAGGTTTCAGAATGAAATCTGATGTGAACACTGCATGCTGTTAGAACCCAGGTTATTATTGTAATGGCAGGATTTATTTCTGATTTAGCATCTAAAATCTGTGGATGTAAGTCACATGAGCCACCAGCATTTAAACAAAATGCTGTGGTTTAATCAAACAAAGCCTGATTTCTGTTTCATTACTCCAGGTGTAACTACTTAGAAATACTTCATTTTGGTGCACATAGCAATTTTCTACATGGGGGCCATTTATCATCCTTACTCAAAAGCACAGAGCTTTTGCTTTAACCTAAAATTCATCTTCTTATGTTGATTCCAAAGGACAGGACACAGACTGAAGTCAGCAGCAAAGACACAGAATTTAAACTCCAGCACTTCCGTTTGCATATGTTCATATGGCGTGATCATCCAGAAACCTTTATCTGCAATATTAGAGCAAATTCTGTGCACATCAAGTGAGCCAGTTTCAGGGCATTTTTTTCTGAACTGCTTGTGATTAAGGGCTTTTGTAATTTTGTATTTATTTATAAATACTTTGCTGATGTTTTGTAGATTACTTATGAGCAATTAATAGGAATAACTGCGAGGTTGCTGGTTGTGAATGTATTGAATAATAATAGTAACCTTAAAAATTGCAGTTCATCAATTATTAGACAGCCAGAACCCTAAGAACATTAACTACTAGAGATTACCAAAGTGTATTACTACTATTACTAACTATTGTTAGAAAGGAAAGATAAAACTTGGCAACCAAAAACCTGCTCATATATTTTGCTGATAACTAATCTATAAAGCATGCTACTAAGCAATATGCTATAGGCTCTTTCTTTGTTAAAGGTGTAAAGAGACACCTATGTGTCACTGAGTTTGGTATGTCACACACAGCATGTGTCTTGTTAAAGTGTATATTAGTTGGGCATTAATATGATGTTTGACTGTGATGTCAAACATCAAATCTGCCCTGTCAACTTGTTTCATTCATAGTTTTGAGAAGCTGTGTGTTGATATAAAGATGTCTTCCCAAAGAAGGCAAATGTCACGCGTTTTAAGCATTGTTTTTATATCTGAATAGAAGTCAGCATTATACCGTGTTTGTAAAATGGCTTTAGGTGTGATTCATTTCACACAAGCAGTGCATTTCCTTTGGACCTTTACATTAACAGGTGACAGCTGGGTTTTGTAAAGACCATAATTGCTAGGATGTATCATCTTTTACTGAAACTGTATTAATTTCATGTTTGACAGAAGCCATTGTATAAAAGAACATACACATTATGGGGAGTGCAAGGTCTGAATAGTGAAAATGCATTTTTGACGCTGTCACAGTCATCTTCCTTTGATACCAACCCTCGTTCTCACCACAAAGCCAGCTGGTAATTAAGGACCCTTCAAACTATGAGTTATCGTGTTTTGATAGAACATTTAGTCTCAATTATTTCTCATTCAGACAAATCTGCCAGCCTTTTAATACCATTTACTCTTCAGTAGTTAAAAAAGGCCACTTGCTCCATTGATTGATTTACAGTAATGTATGCAAACTGGGGTGTATAAGCAGCTTCAAAAGTAATCATCTGCATCAAAAAAGTAAATCAAGCATTCCTCCTTAATTCTCCTCAGTGCGAGTGTGCTGATATTTGAGGGAAACAGGCCTACTAGAAAATGAGTCAGACAGTTGGCAAAACCTCTGCTTCCATCTCAACTGTCATTGAGTCTGGCCATGTGGCTGAGACACAGCTTCCTATGTCCAAACATCAGAAAAACACCAAATCTCATGTACTCTAATCCCATTTGTTAGATTAAAATAAAGCATTTTATGTGTTTAAAAGCATCTGTGTGTCACCCTTTCCCCCACTTTACTCTTGATTTGTCACTTACAGCCCCTGTGAATGCTGGGAATGATTCCTTTGCTTAGAATTTAGTGTTTGATGTGTCGCCCTCATCTGGACAAAAAAGTAACTGCACTGCATTCATAAGATAAGTGAGTAATGCTGCACACCTTGAGGCCTGTTCACACCATTTCCTCTTTTTATTTTGTTTGCTGTGTGGCACATTTCCACAGTCACTGATCAGCAGCTTCAGCCTGTTTCACACCTGTTGTTCTGCTGCAACTGTTTGCACACAGCAGCAAAACTCCAGAAAAAATAAACTCTCATTTGTCTCATAATGTGAAATCAATCATTTTTTCTTTGTTAAATCTAAAATTCTCAGTTTACAGCAACATTTTTGTTAAAGGCTTCTTTTCTTGTGATCAGTAATAATCCTGTCACAGATTTCAAATAGGTTTAACTCACTAACTTAAATTGTGAAATCCTATGTAGTATAATGAAGTATGATACAGTAATGGACATTGGGTGTAAGACATCCTCGACAGTCACTGCTCTAAATTTAGTCTCAATACAAGGCACAATACACGAGCAAGCAGTGAGAAACAGAGCTGGAGTCTGTCATTTTGAGGCCTGGTTTGTAGTTTATGGAGGTCTAATGAAAGCAGTAAAAATGGGATAGATGTGATACAGCATTACAATCACCAGTTTTTACTGCTAGAAACTGTAAATTTAATGCTGATGTCAGTGGTGTAGTGCA